AATATTATGCAGCAGTTTTATAGTTTCTGCGAGGGGTGAGAGGGACCTGGGAAATAAGGCAACGCATTAATATCTTATATCTTACGTTTTGTGTTCAGAAAAAATGGGAGATTAAAAAATAGAATTGTGTACCAACTAGTAATACGGTATAATATATTTTTCTCTATATGAGTTCGATGTCTTATTTTCGACTTTCATAAATGATTCTTCGTGTTGTATTTGATATATTATTTTAGTTATATAACTGTCATTTGTGGTTTAATAAAACAGTCTTCCACTCTTCAGAAGAAAAAAATGGAATCGCGTTTCAAATAAGACTGTATATTATAATCTGTTATGCTGCTTCCAATTATGACTATGCACTAAAAAACGAGGATAGCTAGTTGGGCACACGAAGTGTCATTTTCCCCAAACTCTCAAGACCAATTGGGTTGCATGTAATCTGATCTCTCTCTCTCTCTCTCTCTCTATCTGTTTCTGGGGATCATTAATCAAATTAGTCCACGCGTATTAGGCATGCTAAGCCCCACTTAGAGGCAATGATCATCTTTTCTTGGTAACAAAGTGGAGTAAAGGCTCTATTACAGCACTATAAACACACCAATCTATGTCCATCCCCAGCTACCAGGCCAATGGTAATCTTTTCATGTTGCTAACTTGCTATACATTCCTCACCTTAGAAATGAAATCACTATGACGTAGCCACGGACACATGATACAAAATGGAGTAGGCTGAACTTTTAAGTTAATTATTCCAGGATGGAAATTTTATTAGTGTTATATGTGTTTATGACATTTCCAAAATTAACTTTTACGTGTTAAACCTACATCCTCATCTCATAAAGAATCATATGAAAACGTAAATTGACCATAAATAATTCTATTAAAACAAAACAACGATAAGAAGAGAAGCAGCAGGTGAAATGGTGAGGTATGGTGGTTCTGAGGCAGTATCGGGTGAGTCGCGAGTCTTGAATTCACTGTTTAGTAATTGAAAAGACTTTTAAATATATCATGTACACATTTTTAATCATGTTTGGTATAAAAGTTGGAAGTGCTTGAAGTGTTTCTTTTGAAGAAGCACATGTTGTGTAAAAGTATTTTTATTGAAAATACTTCTGAACATAAGTTATGTTAAAATAAACAATTTCAAACGAGTCAGTGATCTAACTATTGCACGTTACCGTTATCTTCATTTTTTTTTTAACTTATGCAAGCGATGCAAGTGAAGAAGTTGTCAAGTTGTCATATCGTGATACTAGTAGAAAGTTAATAGAAGATCAACCAATCAAAAAAAGAAAGTGAATAGAAAAGGTCCGGGGACCAATACTTGTCTGACACTCATCCCAGTTACCTCCCATTTGTTTATGTTCATAGCTTCCTGGTTTCATGGGCACGGGAAGCTTCTCAGAACCAGTGAGAGTCAAAGTGATCATATAACTCCCAAAAGCAACAGATCAATCATGCATTCATGTTAGATTTGAATATACACACACAGAGAAGGGATTTTTTTTTTTGGCATAAAAAAAGTGAATATATTATGGAGAGAGAAGGATTATTCACATGCTCATGAAAGATCAGAAGATACCTCAAAAACCCTAATTATATAGAGCCCTTTGACAAATTACTGGTCTCTCTTCACTCTCTATAGACTTTCCACAAAGTCTGGGGTTTTTTTTCAGTCATAGTCGTAGTCTTTAGGGCAAAATATAAAACTTTGTGTCACCATCCAAATTTTAGATGGACAAAAAATTGCCATGGACCGAAAGCAAACATCTTTTAACCGAATTGTGTTATCATCATCACAAGTTTTCAAAGATTAGGATTGGAATTTGGTGTAGCCAATTTTTCTGCTTTGTAACAAAGTAGCAGTTACAAAGGAGATTTTGACCCTCACAGATTTTTAGGTGGACGCTTGTGAAGCCACAGTAGTAAGACTACTAAAATTGTCCGGAGGGTACATGTGAATTTGTGATCATGCAGCTAAGATTTTTTTTTTGTTTAACCTTTTCTCGTCGACTAATTGACATTTTTATCTTACAAGATCGAATGAATTGTTGCTCAGTCTTTTTAAATGATTGTTAATTGTTGACCGATAAGATTTTATTGTGTGTACTGTATGATCAATTAAAAGTCGATTAAAAGGCTAACGTCATCTGGATGTTTGCAAATTCGGGAAGTAATTTCCAGACTCCACTTTCTTCCCCGGCACTACTTCCTTTCTACTCTTACAAATTTTTTTTAGTACAATGTTGTATTTTACACTGAGGGAAGAGGAAAGTTCAACTAAGCCACACAATGGGCAACCTAATTTGGTATCAAATTTGCCATTGACAAGATTCGAATCTAAGACCTCTCACTTACAAGTGAAGAGTGTTGGAAAATATTAGTATTTATATTTATTTTAGTATTTGGATTTTCTTTGTTAGTTTAGGAATTGGGCTTAGCCCATCCGAGTTAAGGTTTCTTAGGTTTAGTTCTCTATAAATATTGTTTGTAATTTAGTTTGAGAAAGAAGTTAGTCACAATGTAGCCTCTTAGGGTTTTATAGCCGTTTCGGCATTCTCAGTTTGTTTAATAATATTCTTATTATTTTATAGTTTTGTTCGTTGCGCGCTCTGATATTAAGAGGAATACTACAGATCCTAGTACTGAGTGACATTTTTACTCTTACAATTGTATTGAACACTTGTACTGAATAAATCAAAAGTGAATCGATAATAGAAACAAAGGAATGAGTGCACCAAAATAACGAAAATTTGAAATTACTATCCTACAAATAATTATCTATTCTTGGCCCAATCAACTGCATTGGACCCCCTCTTTATGTAAGAAGAATCAGGGTCCAATACACATTCTAAAGCCTAAAGCCTGAAGTGATGATTTTTCAACTAGGCTCAAAGTCATGACATTTTAATCTTTGAAATTTCAAAAGGGTCTAAACCCTAGAATGTGTCTGTTCATTCATTCTGTACCACCTGAGATCCATGAAGCGCCAACATTGTCGTTCACTCAAGTTCTAATGCGTGGGTTAGTAACATCATATAATTGCACACTTGAAAAATTCCTCCGCTCTCCATGCGCATACAATATTTTAGCCGAACAGCACGCGAAAAAGGGAATTTGATGGAAACATGCCAAAAAAAGAAGAAACTGCAGTAAGAGTAGGAAGGCCAAGTGCATGAAAAGCTGTTTTCAGCCGAACAGCACGCGAAAAAGGGAATTTGATGAAAACATGCTAAGTAAAGAAGAAACTGCAGTAAGAGTAAGAAGGCCAAGTGCATGAAAAGCTTTTATCGACTGGTGTTGCATGCTTGTTTGTACACACTGCAAAATGGGTCCTCATTTTCTGCCTTTATCGTTTTCAGTTTTGTTATTTTGTGCGGGTTAAAAGGATCGTACCAGATTGCCCATGTGAACCTTTGTTTACTTATGGCCCAATTCTAGGACCACACTCCACTTTCATTTCATATCTGCATTTTCTATCTTGTAGAGAGTTGAAAGCCTCACTACTTGTTCTTAGTCACTTGGATTCAAAACCTAAGTTCTTAGTTTGTTTCCATTCTAGTATCTTGGGAAGGAGACGGAAGACCGAAAGTCGAATTGTTGTTAAATTGATAATGGTAAGCACTCTATCATTAAAGCTAAGATTTGTACGAGTTGTCGAAATTAAAGCAGATGACGCTAATTTACCGTAGTGGTGGAAAACAATCATGTTTATGTACCCTAATGTGAGTTTGATCCTCACTGGTCTCCCTACCCCCTAACAACTAACAATAAAAGCTTTCTTTTGAAAATATGACCTAGCCCATAAAACTCAATTTTCTTTACAAACAATCCAACATAATTTTTTTTTACATGAATAAAATTCGGTGACTAGACTCCACATAAGCAAATTAATTAATTCTATTTGACTTTACACATTTTGTATCTTTCGGATGCCTAAAATATCATTATAGTTTTAATGTAAATAGTTAATTGTATGCGGATTTGAAATGATATAGTAATGATTCTCCAAAGAAAAATACATTACTTATTGCGAAATTTTATTTAAACTCATATTACCTCATTCTAAATCTAACGTAAACTTTAAATGTGAATTGTCTTTTTATCTAATTGCATAGCGGATTTGAGTTTTTGTTGAAAGTTTAAACATAGTGAATTTTTGTCTGAAAAATATAAGTTGTAAGGGCCTATATTTAAACAACAGACAAAAATTTTACTTCAAAATCCCATAGAGTGAGGAGAATATAAAGTGGGAGTTTTTGTGATAACATGGTAATTTAAATTTACTTGTGGCATCAACAAATGGGAAACACAAATTATCAACTACGAAATGGAAAGCAAAATTACGTGTTCCTATTCTCCTAGATACTTTTGGCATCCTACGTTTTTATGAGAATGTGAGTTTCTAACTCAAAATCAATCGGCAGTAAGTTGAGATGCGCAAAATTATTTAATTTATCATGTTAAAGCTTTAATTTTTCGGGAGGATCACTTGACCCTTCTCACTTCCAAGTTTTTGTTACATGATTGTTCGTATTTGGTTTATTATATCAATTTTTTTAAGGTTTTGACCCTTCTGGTCTATTGAAAGTATGATAATTTGATTCTTTGACTTGTATCCTTAGAGATGTAGCTCGTGAATGAAATTTACCATTTTGTACTTTTTTTCCTCTAGTGTGTCAACGATTAATGATTAGCTAATCACATAACCCTGATTATACAGTTTAAGTCTAATCATGTCACATTAGAAATGTAAAAGTTAATATACATAATACATTTAAAATCGTCATCAACGAGCTTTCAAACTATGATTTTGTGTTATTATATAAACTTTTCGTAATTTTTTTTCTTTTTCACTTTAAGCTTCTACATATTAATTAAGGTTGACCCCTCATGGTGGAATTTCAGGTTTTGCCACTGCACACTCAACATCTCTGAGTTCTGAATTTGGCAAATAACAAATAGAGAAATACAGTGGAAAAAACATGACTTGGTAAACCAAAAATTGATGCACTTTCCTTCATTAAAAAAATCCAGAGTAGATAACAACAGCCAATTTAGGACAACCCCATTGAACTTAATTCTGCTACACCAGCAAAAATGGGACTTTTGTTTTTTCCTTGAAAGGTTGGAAATTTTGGATTCTGATGGACGATTGAATCTACTTTGAAACAAAGTCCCAACTCATCTCTCAAACCCACAAATGTGAAGTACTAATATTTTACCTATGACAAACACATCTGTAGTGGTATGCACTATGGATGGGGTCATTTCCCTCCACAGGGACTTGCTCAGCTCTGCACTTGTACTTGCACCCTCTGCATTCGTTGTAAGTGCATGTTGGTGCTGTGGATCCAATCATCAGTCTCCTTGCATAATTCATCCTTTCCTTGCTTCTCTATATCCTCAAAATTATAAAGAATCATTGTCAGCAAAATATATCAGAAAATTTATGCTCCTTTTATTTTGATTTATTTATTTGTTTTATATGCCTGTCTATATTCATCACCTGATTTGATTTTTCTTCTTGTGATGTAGAGAAATCATTGACCCTTTGATTGTGTGGAAGTTCTGCTACTTGAGTTCTGGACCCTGCAGCAACAATGAAACCATAAAATCAAAATGATGAACACAAAAAACAAACTTCGCAGAAGTAATGCTATCAATGCTTGGAAATTTGGTGGCTGGGAGCAAGGAAGAAAAAAAAAGGAGGAGAATTTTGGGCAACTAACACCCATTTAGACCAGGTGGCTAGGTGAGTGTGCCCGCCCATGTACCTAAGTTGAAATCCTCGTTCCCGTATTACAATAGTTTAGACTATCGTTTTTATAAAAATACAATATTTGAAAAAACCAAGAAGCTGGAGTCAAACATTGGGCAACAACCAATTTGGAAAGAGGCAGAACTTTTAATTTTAATTTTAATTTTATGAAAGAAACAATTTAGATAACAAAAGGGAAAGAAGGAAAGAGTTTAATTAGCAATGGATAACCTTGTACAACATAAGCTGCAAAGAGTAAAAGTGTTGTGAAGAATGGTAAGAGTAGTTCAAGTCTTGTGGATTTGGCCATCTTTTTCCTTTTCCCTTTGAATGAGAGATGAAATATTTGTGGTCGATATACTGGAAGGATAAGAAGTGAAGGAGAAGGAGAGGGAGAGGTGTGTCGCAATAAGCTAAGCTGCTGAACCAGTGAAGAGATAGGGTGGCAAAAATCTGTGCAGTACTCGGACTCGGAGGGAGGCACGCATGCACCTACAAGTTAAGGACCCCTTGGGACTATATAACCTAGAAATTATGCCTCTTCGCTCAGAACCCTGGGGACCATATAAGGGAATCTTTGGTGTGAATTGACTGTAATTCCCATAGCTTATGATGTCATGCTAGGGATGGCAATGGGACGGGGTGAGGATGGAGTGTTCATAACCATATTTTTTAAAGAAAACTAACGAAAAGTAAAAAAAAAAAAAAAATTTACTTTTAATGAAAAATGAAAAATAAAGATGTAGTGAAAAGTACCAAAAAAATGTAAAAATATGATTTTTCGTTAAAAATGAATAGTACCGAAAATGTTTCGTTAAAATTCCATTTTTAAACAGGAATTTACCCGCCTCCACAGAGGTTAGTACCTCCAAACCTGCACTAGTCAACTAGCTTATCTTGAAATTTTATTTAATTAGTGTATTTTCTACTCATATGTATATATAAACAAGAAATTCTATATATACTAAAACCCAAACAGGGGAACACTATTCATGAATAGTGAAAGTAACAGTGATCTGACGAAAGTGCCCCTGCTTAGTCTGTTTAATTTCAATTGCGCCATGTTTTACACGTGTTTGTCATCGGTGAAATGGAAGCAGGTTGAGAAATCTGGGGTGTTCCACCTGCTTCCTTGCTGTTCTTTTCCTCTTCTGGACTCTTCTTTTCCCATCGACTTCTCTATCACTATCTCGCAACCAACTACAACACCGATTCACCCTCCATTTCTCCCGCTTAGCAAAAGAAAATCAAAGGGGTTCACCTCCTTGGGTTCCGTAAGATGCTTCTCTCTTTCTTCTTCTCTTCTTCTCTTCTTCCATCTTTTCGTTCGCCGAAGCAACTAAAAATAAAAAACCTACTCGCAGCTTCTTCCTCCTGATTTCGGAGCTTCTCTCTCTTCCTCTCTCTCTATCTATCTCTCTCTCCTCCATTGAAGCACCTCCATACACAGGTATCGTTTCTCCCGTAATTATATATTTAATTATTTGAAAGTTAGTTCTTCTGTGTAAAATTCTTGAGCGTTTGATTACTTGCAATTTTCAATTTTCTACGATATAGGATTTTTGGATAATTTTTTCGATTCTCTCTCTCGCCATTCTCAGTTTTTGCTATTATGAACCCTAGCTTTCTTTGTCTCGAAACGGCGGTTTGTCTCTGTAGACATCGAAATTTCGGTAAATAAATGTTGACCGATAAATCAAAGTTTCAGCGCTCATGTATTACATAAATTTTACACGTAGCGTGTGTCTACAAAAAATCGAGAATCATCGGAAAAGTCATCAAACAGGACACGTGTCAACACCTGGCAGAAACGACTTATTTCATCTGGAATATTATATTCAAAATTAGGCCTTGGAAAATTCTATAAATAGAAGCCAATTTCATTCATTTGGGGGAGGAATTCATATTACACCTTGAAGCTCTGAAGCTCTGAAACTCCGAAGCTCTCAAGCAAATCCCTAAGGATCAAGAAAGCCCTTTTCGTTCTTCATCAAATCCTCCTTCAAGATCAAGCCCCGACGACCCTTGAAGAAAGTCGTTCTTCGTTCTTCGTTCTTCGTTCATCATTATTCCAAGATCAAGCCCCGACGGCCCCTTGGATCAACAATCATCCACCTTCAAGATCAAGCCTCGACGGCCCCTTGAAGAACTTCCACCAAATTCAAGATCAAGCCCCGACGGCCATTGAAGAAAGTGTTCTTCGTTCTTCGTTCATCATTCTTCCAAGATCAAGCCCCGACGGCCCCTTGAAGAACTTCCACCAAATTCAAGATCAAGCCCCGACGGCCCTTGAAGAAAGTGTTCTTCGTTCATCGTTCTTCTAAGATCAAGCCCCGACGGCCCCTTGGATCAACAACATCAACAAATCCACACGTCCAACCGTTCTTCAAGATCAAGCCCAAAAGCCCTTGGAGATCCGTTCATCATTGTTCTTCAAAGATCAAGCCCAAAAGCCCCTTTGAAGATCCGCTCAAATCCACCTTCAAGATCAAGTCCACGGCCCTTGAAGAACGTTCATCCTTAGATCAAGCCCAACGACCTTTTGGATCAATCGCACATCCACAAATCAACACCTTACGGAGATTGAATCAGAGGATCAAATTTAAGAGAGATTGTAACCCAAAATCATCAAATACAAATATTTGTTTGTGCACGTTGTTCTTGTCGCTTTCGTTTCAGGAAATTTTCGTGTTCATAAATTGGCACACCCAGTGGGACAATCTTTACCTCTCATCTCTTTCCCTGTTTAAAAAATTTAAGCACATTTCCAAAAGTAATGGCATCAAGGAAGGCTCAAACTGTTCCCGCAACCGGCGCAAAGAACAAGAGCGTCCTCATCACAAGTGGTGTCACTTTGGGCATCACGACTCGAAGCAAGACAAGAGCTACTTTTGCCGCCTCCTTCACCTCTGCATCTACTCTGCCAAGGGAACAAGAGCACTCAAGGTACGAGCCTGTAATCACCTTAGCCTCACTAAGGGCACCAGGGGAGGAGAGCCCAAGGAAGTACTCTAAATCCATGCTCTCTGATGCTGACTCAAGCGGTAGTTCAACCATGCAAGTTATGACCATTGGAGCAACTTCAATCGATGAGCAGCTGGCTCAGATGAATGAAGCAATCGCAAGGCTAACCCGAACTGTGGAAGAAAAAGACTTGCAAATTGCAGCACTCGTCAACCGACTAGAGGCGCAGGACGGCGAGAAACCCAACCCGAGGATTGATCCTCTAAAGAAGGAAGACGATGAAGAAGATGAGCCTATAGTGGAGAAAGCTGAAGAAAAGCTGAAACTCGACCCAACAACAACGCTCATGGGATTTCTCTCCATCAAGCAGTTGTAGGAGATGATCGCCACCACCGTCAAGGTGCAGTACGAAGGGAGCTCACATGCCTCCATGTTGTACTCGAAGCCTTACTCCAGGAAGATCGACGACTTAAGGATGCCGATGGGCTATCAACCGTCGAAGTTTATGCAATTTGACGGAAAGGGAAACCCGAAGCAACATGTCGCACATTTCATCGAAACCTGCAACAATGCAGGGATGAAGGGAGATTACCTCGCCAAGCAGTTTGTGCGCTCGTTAAAAGGAAACGCCTTTGAGTGGTACACGGACCTGGAGCCTGAGTCCATCAACAGTTGGGAACAGTTGGAAAGGGAATTCCTCAACCGCTTTTACAGTACCCGCCACACTGTGAGCATGCTAGAGCTGACGAGCACAAAGCAATGGAGGGAGGAACCAGTCATGGACTACATCAACCGATGGCGTAATCTAAGCCTCGATTGTAAGGACAGGCTCTCCGAGATTTCTTCAATTGTGATGTGCATCCAGGGCATGCAATGGGGTTTACAATACATCCTTCAAGGTATCAAACCACGAACTTTTGAAGAATTAGCCACCCGTGCCCACGACATGGAACTGAGCATCGCCCACCATGGAAAGAATGAGCCAATCACCGATTTCAAAAGGGATAAGGTGTTTACTTCAAGAGCAGACAATCATGGGAAAAAGCCCGCCAATGAAGCTTTTACCACCAATACCACCCCTATCAAGACCTCGTCCGCACCCGTCAAAATCTCCTTCAATAACAAAGCAAAGGAGATAAAAAGAAGTGAGCATTCCCACACCCAAGATAGGTACAAAAACACTTTAAGGGAACTGGAGCAGAAGGTATACCCTTTTCTGAACTCCGACATGGACGCAATGCTGGACGACTTGCTGGAGAAGAAGGTGATTGAGTTGCCTGAATGCAAACGCCCTGAAGAGATGAATCGTACCAACGATCCCAAGTACTGCAAGTACCATCGTATCGTGGGTCATCATGTGGGCAAATGTTTCATCCTAAAAGAACTCATCATGAAGTTGGCACAGCAAGGGCGGATTAAGCTCGACCTAGAAGACACAACCGCAACGCATACCACTATGATCGTGTTCGGATCCTTTGATCCCGTGCCTCTTCAAGAAATACCCGACCATTCCTATCAATGCACAAGCTACATGGAACTTTCTGCACAACCATCATTGGGGGCAAACGATCATGATGCACCTATCGATGATGAAGAATGGTGGACATTGGTGACCTATAAGAAAACGAAGAAGCCAAGACCACAAGCTATAAAGCCAAAGGGGGAGCAAGCGAGAAAGCACCGCCGCCGCAACAATAAGAAGCCTAAAAAAAGCATAAGAGCTGCTAAGCCAACATATACTGGGGAACCTATGGAGCAAGAGCCACGTATTCCCGTCTCCTTGCACGAATACTTCCCGGAGGACTTCTTCCAACAGTGCACTATCACTGCATGTCACATGGTCGAAGTAGAAATGGAAGAACCCTTAAAAGGCAAAGTTGTCATCACTGAGGGGGAAAAGACTCTTACAACTGAAGAAGGTCTGCCAACACACTTTAGCATCGAGGAAGCGCTCCAGTTGCCAAAAAAGATGCGAAAAGCACTGGCAGCAGTCTTGGCAAGTTCCGACGACCATGAACTGCAAGAAAGCAAGAACGAAAGCTTGAAGCTTCGACCACGTGAATGTGCCACATGATGTGATGCCGAGGACGCAATCCACTTCACTGACGAAGACTTGCTGCTAGGATCCAAGCCTCACAACCGACCTCTCTTCATTTCTGGTTACGTAAGGGAGCATAAAGTTAGCCGCATGCTTATGGATGGCGGATCAGCCATAAATATCATGCCAAAGTCAACAATGACCACAATCGGCATCAAGGTTGATGAACTATCCCTAAGCCGTCTACTAATCCAAGGTTTTAACCAAGGAGGACAAAGAGCGATGGGCATGATCCGAGTAGAGATGACCATTGGTGAACTCAAATCAAGCACAATATTCCACGTGATTGATGCAAGAAATTCCTACAGTTTGCTCTTAGGAAGGCATTGGAGCCGAATCATATTTCGCGGACGCCAAGTTCTACATGGATGAAGACATGGTGCCCGAAACTCTTCCAAAAGAGATCAAATTCATGGGCAAAGCAACACCTAAAAAATAGGAGTGGCAA